AAAATTGGGACACCAACAGCAAGTGTTGAGGAAAAAAAAACAAACAAACGGTGGACGGGGAGAATAAAACGGAAAGAAGACATTGGTGATAAAGGGGAAAAAAAAATTTAAAGATTTTGAAACGGATCTGGATTTTAGCCATTTTTTTTTTTTCTTCTGCAAAATTTGCATAGTACACACAATTTTACTGTTTGCACAATAACAGCGCTAAAATAAAAATAACACAGCCCGGCCCGGCCCCATTGGTATTGGGTATGCGCTGCTAACACCTTTCCCAGTGTTTGTCTATTTGAGAAGGCGGTTCCCCCCAGTTGTCAATAACCGCTAAAAAATAGACAAAAAACTTTCCCAGTGTTGCATAGAATTTTTTCTTTTAAAATTTTTAAAAATACTATTTGAACTAATCATATTTATTTTATAATCATTAAAAGAATAATATTGTAAGAAAAGGTTTTTCCCCCCCCTCCCCATTCCCCCCTCCTGAAAGATACAATGTTAAGTTTGCTTTTTGAAGAGAAAAAGAAGGAGGAAGGAAATGATTATTATGGGATATCAAAATTTATTTATAATTATTTTTTTTTTTCGTTTTTTGTAATGTTTAAATTAAATATTTTACATTTTTACTGTAAAAATTTAGTGTGAATGCATGAAGGAATGAAGAGGAAAAAAAAAAACAAAGCGGTCATTAGAAGATTATCCGGGGAAACAGAAATTTGACGACACCTATTAAACAGGAACCCAAATGACCTGTTCTTTTGATGGTACAGTTTTTTTTTTTTGTTTTTTTTCAGTAAATAGATGATTGATCCTAAAACAGTGCCTGAAAATTTGGTCAATGTTTGTAAATTCAATAGATTTTTGTGTTCACTAAATCGTTGCATACCCATATATTTCAACTTCTGTGTGTGTTTGTTTGTGGACAGCAGAAAACGCATTGGTTGATTATATTTTGGCGAAGGAATCAAAGGTCAAAATAATTGCTGCCATATACTGTGTGTATATTATATAAAAACGCCGAGTATAATAATATTGGATGACAAAATTGTCTGTTGTAAAATGCCTATATATGTGTAGGAATAAACAAAAATGGTTGAGCAGGAAGGAAGGAAGGATGTTTTTAAAATTATTGCCCATTCTGTGTTGTTCTATTCAATCTTACGCTAAGTACCGTATTTTTTTTTTT